ATATGTAAGTATTTACAAAAATTAACATAATAAAATTAGGGTGAGAAAAGCCCATTTTAAGTCCACTTATGCAGTCTTGAAAATTGGTGAGGAATGGTCTCATTAGTCACCGAAGAAGCACATTTTTCGCGGTTTCTAAATTTGCCGTTATATGAAAGTAGGGGACGTGCAAAAGTGTTTAGATATACATAAATATTTTAGTTAATTCCATTAAGTGAAAAAGTGACTGTAGGTAAATACAAGAGTATTTAACATATCCTGAGAAATCCTTTTGAGGACTCCCCAATTGGACGATATTGCTTTGTATTCAGCTTGAACGAAAAAAGTCACTCCCTGGCACACTTTTCTATAATCCGGTTCTTTTATTTAAAAGTTATTTATATAGTTGAAGAAAATTTTTTTACAAAAAAACTGCAGATCCATTTAAGTTTTTCGATAAAACTTTGGTAAATGTTACTCGATCGGTACGTAATAATTACCAAATTGAAGGCGAGCTTTACTGCTACTGATTTATGATAATAATATGATGCAAATCGTTCAGATTATAAACAAATTATTTTAAAATAAAAAATGTTGAACAAAATTTTTCGTCATTTTCCTATATTTACAATTTTTATATTGTATGCATAAACATACATACATAAGTAAACTAATTAGTGTTTCTAGAAGTTGTGCCTGTTCAGTGTTTCCATACTCATTTGCATAAACAAAATTTTTCTACGATGATGGAAAATAATGGCTTTTCTATTGAACTACCGAAATTGTTTATAAATTTGCCAAAATTCGCAAACTATATTTAATATTAAAAAAGATTAGAATATTTTGAACCAGCGACATAAATGCACGCCAGCAATATTAATGCTATTCGTGACATCTTTTGACTATAGGCCAGTGCAATTATCAAGAGAACAATTGAAATTTTATTGAAAATAGATAACTTTGAGATTAACGATAAGCTAAAATGCTGCGAAGAATGATATTTGACTTTATCTTTACCGTTAACGGATTCATTATCTAAAAATATGCACCAAACCTTTTTGCTGAACCGCGAAATTTTTAACAAGAATTGGTCTTATTCGACTAGTTTGCTGTGGGTCACTTGACGGTGGATGCGCGGGCTCTCACAATTAAAATAAACGACTAATATTTTGCAGGCTTGTTGTTGACTTCATGATACAATATACTTTCACTATTAATCAAATATAAGTTAGTCGTTTCTACGAGCTTTTATTTAACTATCTCTGTATGTATGTAAATATATTTGCTTGAGGCAAATCTTGTTATTAATTTTTGATCAACTTCCCGATTCCTTAGAGACCTGAGATGAATTAATGCGATAGGTAGCGCAGGGGTCGAGATTTTTGAAAGCCCCGTTTTTTTAGACCGATTTCGTTCATATGTATTTCGGAAGCTTGTTTTACAAATATTTTTTGTTTACTATTAACTTATTTAAGAAATATTTAACACAATTTCGCCCGCCTGCAACATCTTGAAACTCTTTTCAAAAGACATTACGCTTCCCAATTTGGCATTTTTGCAAAGCCGATTTTCAAACCTCGGGCGGAACCACAAATTAATTACTTGTTTGCATTGTAATTAGAATTTCGAACGTGAAATTTATGCAACTATGGTGCGTCACATTTCAAAAAAAAAGTGTATTTATGGGGTGCCCTATGTGTGTTCTAAATTATACGCTTTTATGTTTGTATAGCCTAAAAAATGCGTGATTTTTGTACATTACCCAATTGAACATAAGAGCCGCTATAATTAAAGTTTGACATAGTTACACACACATGTATGTATGTACTTAAGAAGACATATTAAATTAGCTTGTACAATAAGTAGGTCAAAAAATTAGGACATTTGAATTAAATTCTGTCCGAACACTGTGAGAGCTGTGAGAAGAAATTAGCAGTCTTTGCAAGTTCAACGAGCAATACTAGATACTATGTAAGTAAGTATATTCAAATATAAAGACATTTTCAGCGCAAATGACCCGTTTTGTATTGATATTAAGTGACACGTGTTAAAGAAACCAACCTTAGATAGTCCATTGGCCAGTCGCACACGCGATTCCCATACCTTTTCCCCCAAAAGGCGCACAAAAGCAGTTTTTAATTGACAACGAAAGTAACAACCTTCAAGAAAGTGTTGCTGTCTCATTTTTTGGACGCAATAATCAAATTGTTATTTTGTCTTAATTGTCATTTGCATGGATGATGTGGAGAGTTAATAAATGAAATCAATTTTCGGATTTCAGTTAACAGCTTTTTTGGTGACTAAGAGGAAATACTTGGAGTTTAATGGTCATTTAAAGAGTATAAATAAAAAACATTCCAAATTGTTGTCATTTGTATTTCGTTATCATTGCAACTCATAGTAAAATGTGGGAAGTTTTTATTTATTAATCAATATTTTTTTTGCATTGCGGTCACGCAAAACCTCCCTAATCGTTGCTGTGCCCTGCTGGCGCTTTACTCATGCAGCATGCCGCAATTTATTTTTTTAACTGCTGGGGTCTAGAGTATCGATTATAGTTGATGCCACTTCTGACAATTATTTACTATTGAGAAAAACTTTTTTTTGCATTAAATATCGATTTCACCTATACCTGCTGTCTCTTTGCCTCGAATTTACCTACCCTTAGTATTTCTTTTGCTATTCCTTATTTTACTTTCCATTAAAATTTTCATTATTTTCATATTCTTTTTGTATACACATTTTTTATTTTTTTTTTGCTTTTAAGACAACACCCACTACATAACCACAGGTCAGCAGTGCATTTTCTATTGAATCACACATACATATGTACATATATTCATGTTAAATATGTCAAAATGTATTGTGTTAGTTCGTCATCGGTCGAACGTAGAATGGATGTCAATGGATGTCAACGGAATATGCCAGAGTGTGTATGGTTCGAGGGGCAAGGGGCCCATATGCAATACAAGCATTATTAAATATTTGAGCACTTCGCTATAGTTGTTTTTGCCCAACTGGTGGAAGGTTGGCAGATTGCCGTGTACAAATGGATAATGCACAGTGGGCCGTTTATATGTGGTAGGTGGCTTTGTTTTTGAGAATTTAGTTTGAAATGAAGTATAATGAAACTTGAAATATGTGAGATAAGCAGGAATCAAACTATTTGTACCTTTTGAAAACTGCGGTTGTTTGTTTTTTTTTTTTTATTGAGCGGGTACAAGTTTTTTCTAAGTGGTTCGAACGACTGACCCGAACTGCACCGATTTTTGGAGTGGTTTGCAGCCCTGCCAAAACAGTTAGAAAAGAGGAAGTTTTAGTGCAGAGCTAGAGTTATATTTAGAGCTCGGATTCTTGTGATAAAAATAAGCCTAAAAATATGCACCATACATATTAAGTAAAAGAAAAATGTATATCAATTTATATACAGTCAGCGTCAAAAATGTGAACACCCTGACATTTTGACGATTTTATTTGTATATATTTTCCGTATAAAAATTTACTTGTTTTTAACCGACTTCAAAAAAGGAGAAGGTCATCACTTCGTCGGAATATATTATTTTTACTTTTATTTCTTATTTTTACTTTTTTTTAATTTTTTTTATGATGATTCTGGAAAATACAAGAAATTCCAAAAAATGTCACCAAAATTATAAATTTTTTAATTCGATTTCGTAGCCCATTAAATGCAGGTTTAAAGTCGCTAAAATTGCCGTTGATTTTAGAGAATATTTATTTTCGTGGGTGTTGCCCATTTTCTACCGTATAAAAATAGATTTTGTTCATGCGTTTTATGGAAGAAAATGCGAAATACCCTCTATAAAAAAAGTTCTCAAAAATCAACCGTAATTAAATAATTGCATAGTCAAAATTATTCTAAGAAATCGAGTTTAAAAATTTAAAATTTTTAATTAAACTTTTTGGTATTTCTTGCATTTCCCCAAGTTCTGTATGAAATTAAAAAATTGATTCTTGGGCTTTTTGCTGTTGAATGAATTATATTTTTATAAAAAAATAAGAAAAAATTGGTATGGAAAACATAAATAAATAAAATCGTCAAGCCGTCGGGTTGTTTATATTTTTGACGCTGACTGTTGATGGCACATATTTTTAGTCTTATTTTTTTGCATACAAATCGGATCTCCAGTTATATTTAACAAAATATAAAAGAAAGCATACAAAGTTGTTGCAGAAACCAAGGGGACATATTTGTTTTTATTTTTTGTGGACATTTACCCACTTTGTACAAATATTTTGTCTGCGAATAATTTTCTAGAATATTTTAACCTTTTAGCGTCCTCGCAAATGCCATTTTAGTTAAACTATCTCGAAAAGCGGTCAAAACGACCCTTCGGCGAGAGAGCTACTTGGTGAAAATATTCTACAAAATTATTGCTCGTGAAATTTTTCTATAGGTACCCGAACGACATATTTCCAACCGTTCTGAATTTTAACCCCTTTTTCACTTAGTCTAAAAAACGCTAAGACAAAAAGATTGCAGTCCGAGTTAATGTTGTAGTAATTGTAAATGAAATGGAGCAAAACCACGCATTGCCGGCAGCAAATGAACTACAACGTATTGCCAACGAATCGAGCAATGAACTCATACTCTGTAAGTCTAATTAACGAGAACACCAAATCTACTCAAATTTGTTCTCACTTTAACCCCTTCGGCCAATTTTTAGCAACAAAACTAAACGAGAGCGATAATTGCACAACAGTGTTGAAAGTGAGCTCACCCGTTGGGACCACAGTGCGTATACGTGTCCGACATGCAATGGCATCGCGTGCACTCTCTGAAAATGAAAATAATAGCAGTTAAACATTGGAAGTGATATGAAAATGAAGACAGACGAGAAGTGAAAAGACTAGATATGTAATTCGCAAAATATCAAATGACTGAAATGACAAATACGGAGTGAAAAAATATATTTATGAAAAATTGTAACATACTCAAAATCTTTAATGCGTTAGTGCTGTGAAAAGTAAACAAATCAAAATAGCTGAACGCAGCTGACATCCATCTATGAACCAGCAACCGAGAAAGGCTTGCGAATGCAATCAAAAAGGGCCAGCGCGCATACATGTCACTACTAACGGACAACTCCACACCAAAAGGCGATAGCAGCGCGAGTAAAGTGAATGCAACACGCCAATAGACAACTCTGTTTGTTTTTCCACTGCTTTGCCCCCCCCCCCCCCCTAATTGCTAATGTGCAACCACAGGCATTTCGTATCTGCTCGTGTCCACTGTCGTTTGCCGTTTCGTTGTGGGCAGTAACTATGTTTCACTGTCACAATTCTCCGCCCCATAATTTCGAGCTGCGGAGTTGATGATAAATTTACCGAAGACAGTCATATGGACAGCAAACGCCATAGGACCGTCAAAGCTCGTGGACACGTTTCCGTTGCTATTTCCGCCGTCGCCGGTGTAGTGTGAATCATGTGCGAATAGATCATTAACAAAGGACCTACATACATTAACGGCAATGGCAAGCAGCGAATTCGCTTAACAGCCTTAGTTGTGCGAGAGATTAAAGAAAGGTGTGAGTGCAGTGCAAATTGTAGAGCGGGGTATCGGGGCACAGCAATGCGCAAATGAGCAATCAAGCAAATTATAATGCCAGTACACGAAAGATAAAGCTTATAATAGAAAAAAAAAAAGAAGCAAAAGTGTGCAAACTAAAAAAGGCTATGTGTGCATAGTGAATGGCCGTGAGTAAAAATTGAAAAAAAAGAAGATGTGTGGAGATATATACATTTGTTGGGCTAAACTCGTTTAAAGCAGCGCACATGCATTTATAGGTATTTTTTCGGAAATCCGATTGAGTTCCATCGAAATGCAGAAGCAAGTAAGCAAATAAAAAAAAAAGAAGGCGTTTAAGCACATACAACAAAAACTGCGAAAATATCAAACAGCTGACACTTTACATACTTACTTATGTACATACAAACGTGCTGGAAAATCCCGCACTAATGACCACGCGGTCAACTATGGACTGCAAATTCGTGTATTTTGTTATGATGTGCATGTGTGTATAGGAAAAAAATAATAGGAAATTACACTCCAACATGCACACTTCCGTTATACATACCATAGAGTATGTATGTCTGCTGTATATTTGAATGTCCACCGCTGACAGCAAATAATTGAAAATAATTGAAAAGCAAAAAAAAATATATATACTTCGGCTTGCTGTAGGTAAATGAGCAACACACTCATTTGTCGCTTCGTTCCGTTTTATACGCGCGTAGTTTTAGTGTGTGTGTGTGTGTGTGTCTGTTTCCTACGGCTGCTCCACATTAAAATAATAGCGTTGTTGCTGCCCATGTATACCTTTTGAGTGGGTGTTGTAATATTTTATTTACATACATACACATAAATTTATCCGCATGATTTATTGCCGGAAAGTTTTCGCTGTTCGCTCGCCTCGCTTGAATGTGCTTTAAAGTGCATCGTCGACAGTGTCGTTCTCGCAATTGCATTCGCATTTGCTTGTACCGCGTCCAGCGACAGCATCGTTAACAACTACCGCATCAACTGATAGTGTTCGTACATATACATATATATATATATAGAGCGCAATGCCACCAAAACGTAGACGAAGGTTTCAAGGATTATACTATCACTCATCGCCGCCGAAAGGTGAGTAAGAAAGTCAAATAATTGCAAGTTTTTTTTGGTTGTTATTTTATTTATTTTTGGTGCTGTGAAATAAATGACTTAAGTTGTGCGTAATTCGAAGGTGTTGAGGACATTATGTTTATTAAGGTATGTACTATATATGGACAAGTAAAATGAAATTGGAAAAGGTTCTTTCTCAATATCTGTATGTATAGTAGATAGAACTGCGCACTACCATTCCGCAGGGCCTGGGACTGAGCCCAGTTTGCGGCTAACACCAAAAACAAAAGTTAAAAAAGTTTTTTCTCATAGGGGTAGCCCCTCGAAAGGCTTCTCTTACCTACACTTTTTCTTGCTTTTAAAGATCTACATATGTATATCGTTTTAAAGGGAGCATGAAAAGTGGCTCGCAGACAGATTTTGAGGTACGAATGAAGAAATTCGTGTAGGCGCCTTGTCTTCTGTACATAAAATCTAAGTATGGATATCAAAAATCTTGCTGTTGTTCATCCACTACACCTTCGCGCCATCTGGTTTGGTTTCTGGCAATCGCTTTGATTTCCTGCCAGCTTAACCCGAGCTGCTTCGCCTTCAGCTCGACTGTTCTTCTCCACGAAGCGAAATAGTTATAGCAAAGGAAATATAAGTTTCCGACAGTCATCGCTGTAATCGGTTTTACCCACATAGGGATACTGAGACCAAAATTCTATTGAGATGAGTAAGTTCATCGAAAAGGTAAACCGACTCGGAATGTCCTAGCCACTTGTGATACCTGAGACGTTTTTCCAAGTATTTATGTTAGTTGGCCTCGATTCGCATATGGCTAAAGAATATAAAAAAATTCACAACTGTGCCAAAAATTATGAAACTGCGAATATGAGTTAGCCATGCCTATGAATCCATGTGAAAATGCTACATATAAAACTCAAAAACCAGATTAAAAAAAGTAACTGCCTGTGAGGATTCAACGCAATTAATACAAAAAAGCTAGAACAGTAGTTTTCTAGTTAGAGAATTGGGGTATAATCGAAGTCTTCCAAAAGGCACGGATTGCGTGGTAAAGAGCGGCAAAGCATTGCAAACCCAAAGTCACCATAACTGTTTTTTTTTCAGATTTTTCTCAAGCCTTTTCGGTTCACGGAGTCAATGCTTACCAACTTAACTTGAATTTACTAAAAGCAGTGGAAAGATATAACCTTCCACTTTTCAGCGAACATAAGATTATCAAAATATGTGTTGAAAACTGTTAAATTGTTGACCGGTGCTTTGACCCAAAAACCAGATTTTCAGTATTTGAAATTCTGGTAATGCCAAAATAATTTCTTAGGCCTGTTCTTCCACCTTTACTGCATGACTAGTATATGCAACCATTTTTTTGTAGCACCTTGTTATTGTTATCCGTAAAACTGGAGTTTTTTTGTCAAAATCTCTAAAAGTAGCAACTAGGTCTCCATAACTTTATACTAAAAAAATTGGAATTCGGAACATCTCACGTAGTGTACTTCTATTTTATGCGTAGATATTAAGGGTTTATTTTTTTCGATTTGCGAGCTTATTTCGCAGTTTTCGTAAAAAAAGTTTGAATACAAGTTGGTAGAAAATCTACCCTGCAGCATTTTTATACCTTTCATGACCATGAAATGGTATTATAACTTTGGTCCGATGTTTGTAAGTACCAGAATAAGAAGAGATAGACCCATTAAATACTTAAATGATCAGAGCGGTGAGCTGAGTCGATTTAGCCATGTCCGTCTGTCCGTCTGTCTGTCTGTCTGTCTGTCTGTCCGTCTGTTTGTATGCAATCTAGTCTCTCAGTTTTCGAGATATCCGGATCAAATTTGGTAGGTGGGTGTATTTTTATAATGTATTAATCATTTGTCGGAACCGGAAGAATCGGACCACTATAACATATAGCTCCCATACAACTGATTGTTCAGATTGTTATAACTCCTCCATTTAAGTAGCTAGACACATGAAATTTTGCACTGTTGTCACTTATTATCAAAAGAATACTTTTAGTGAAAATGGCGAAGATCGAGTCACTACAACCTATATCCACCATACAACTGATTGTTCAGATATGAGGTTTTTTGCCGTAACTTCTTCATTTATGCAGCTACGAACATCAAAATTCGCACCGTTTCCACTCATTATTAACAGAATACTTATGGTGAAAATAACAAAGATCGGATCACTTTTACATATAGGTCCCATACAACTGACTGTTCAGATATGCGATTTTTTGTTATAACTACTCCATCTATGCAGCTAGAAACATGAAATTTCGCACTAATTTCACTCATTATCAACAGAAAGTTTACAGTAAAATTAACAAAGATCGGGTCACTATAAGCTGTTTATTGCCCCCATAAAACTGATTGTTCAGATATGGGATTTTACTGTAAAACTCCTTTATTTGGACAGCTAAAACCGATAAATTTCGTAAGCTTTTTTTTAAATAATAATACAAAGTCTACTAAGAAAATCGTCAAAATCTATGCTGTATAATCTTAATCTCCTGTACCACTGATTGTTCAAATACCAGTTTTTGCGATATATGTATCTCCTTTATGTAGGAAGCTAAACCCATTTAATTGTGTTACCGGTTTAGGTACCGATCACACAGCAGTGAAAATCACTTAGATTGGTGCTATATAAGGTATATCTTCCATACCTCTGATTGTTTAGCTAGAATTTTTTATATATATATCTCCTCTATCTATGTCTGCTGTGAATATATAAATTTTTTTCAAATGCAGCAATCTGTTAACGTAAAATTTTCAGATGCTCATGAAAGGTATGGAGCCTTCGGCATAGCCGAAGAGAGCGCTGCTCTTACTTGTTTTGTCTAGATCAAGTCCTTTTCCCAAGATATTTTCATTTAAAATTTGCATTGAAAATAAAAGATATTTTGTAAATTCTTTTCATTTGTGTCAAATACAAAAACATCAAGCTATCAACGAAGAAAATTTATTGATAAAAAAGTTTTAAATGGTCGAATGGCATGTGTAATAATTTCTTTGCAAAATGTTTCCGGCAATATTTATGGTTTCACTAACAGTTCATAATGACGTATGAGTAACACTCTTTCATAGTTATAAATACTCCAAAAACCTCGAAACACGTAACCTTAATATTGGGTCGTAAATTACGGAACTGTACACCGTTTTTTCCAGATCAGGAAATTTTCCGAAGATATTTTCACTTTTAATGGGAAAATGTTAGACTTTAAAAAGGAAAAAATTTAAATCTTTTTTAACTTGTTTCATTTGTTTTGAAGCCTGTGCTTTTGCCAAAAAAATTAAGCTAGTAACGATAAAAATCGATGCATAAATAAACAAGTTTTGACTTTTTTAAACTTTTTTAAACGACTTCAAAAAAAGGAGAGGTTATCAATTCGTCAGAATATTTTTATTTTTTTTCTTCTGTATGTTACCGCATAACTTTGGACCACGTCAACCGATTTCGATAATTCTTTTTCTATCGGAAAGGTATTATCCAACACGTGGTTCCATTATAATTTGGTTTAGATGCGATCATTGGATCATGAAAAAATTAACGGTACTCCTAATTGTTCATATGAAAACTGAAGTCCGTTTTGTGTTTTGCTTAAAAATTACTTGTTTAAATATGAGCAAGAAATAATGTAACTCATACGCCATATCGTACATGGCCGTTCTCGTACATGACGTATGAGTAACATTTTTCATATTAAAGTTTGATTTTTTCTTTAGCGATGCCTGTACGCAGCTCTCAAGAAAAGCAAAAACTATAATAAACCATATAAAATGGCGTACAAGAAATGGCTACGAAATTTTCTTGTGTAAAATTTTCTTGAGGCAGTACGCAGTTCTTAAGAAATTTGCTACGCTGTCTATTACGGTTTTCTAAAGTTTTTTTGTGAAAAAAGAGCACAAGGCAATCCATGCTAGCAACAGAAATATATGCCCGTTCCATTATTTCTTGGGGAAAGAGCGAGATAACAGGCTGGCTAAGTATCAGTTGTCAAAATTCCTTGGACACACACACGAAATAATGGCAATTTTTTTCTTGACCGTTTTCTTGAGAGCTGCATACTGTGCTTAAAATGGAAATATCTTGGGAAAATGATCTGATCCTGGATCACACCAATGGTATACATTCCCTCGTGCAGGGATGCATGGACAAAAATAAATTTGAACTATGCCAAAGTTTAAATTTTGATCCGGAATACGCTAATACATTTTTTTCATTGGGCTATAGTTTGTGAAAATTGCGAAATTTCCATAATTTTTGAAAAAAAATGATTGAGCTTAATGCAACCTTTCAAAATTGCGGTCAAGCTAAAGTAAAATGAAATGAATAAATGGACATTTTTTACCACCATTTCAATATATACCTACGCGTAGGTTTTTGTTCAAATAATATAAATTAAAGTAATTTGATTTATCGTACAACGATGTGAATGAAATACCCACCAAGTTCCCAAGCAATTAGCATATGAAAAACGTATTACTAAAGAAATTTCTTCGCATATATGCAAATTTTTTGCTTTTTTGTGCATTTGCACATACATATCTTGGACGTAGTTCATCGAAGTTGATCGGGGATGTACTAGCATACACATCTAGGCACCACTCATAAAGTGCATCTGCTTGCAACTCCCCCTTTTCAAAACTAATTTGCTCCATAGACGATTCCCTAACCGCCGTATGTAAAACTCAATTTTTTTACAAATGCATAAACTATATTAGCTACTTCACTGATTTACATACCCCAGATATACCGATAATTGCCCGTCACACCCCCGATGGATCAATTCATAAAAAGATAAATGGCAATTAAATAAAATTTGTTGAAATCCAAATAAACTATGTAGTGATAATTAATTGACTAAAACCGCCACTTGGGAATCTTAAATGGCATATGAAAAATTCACACACACGACATATTCAAGTAGATTAATATGAAAATAAGTGTGCGAGTAAAATGGCAATTAAGTGCGGTATGTGGCCTAAAACGTTACACTCGGAATTTTTACG